AAAAGTTTTTTTTCATTTACTGTTTTTCTTTGAAAAAAATGCATTTTCTCTCATTTACTGTTTTTCTTTGAAAAAAAAAATGCATTTTTGTCATTTACTGTTTTTCTTTGAAAAAAGCATTTTCTGTCATTTACTGTTTTCTTTGAAAAAAATGCATTTTCTGTCATTTGTTTTTTTTGAAAAAAATGCATTTTCTGTCATTTACTGTTTTTCTTTGAAAAAAATGCATTTTCTCTCATTTACTGTTTTTCGATTTACTGTTTTTCATTGAAAAAAAATGCATTTTCTCTCATTTACTGTTTTTCTTTGAAAAAAAATGTATTTTTCTGTCATTTACTGTTTTTCTTTGAAAAAAATGCATTTTCTGTCATTTACTGTTTTTTTTTGAAAAATGCATTTTTGTCATTTACTGTTTTCAATTTTCTCTATTTACTGTTTTCTTGAAAAAAAAATTTTCTGTCATTTACTGTTTTTCTTTGAAAAAAAAACATTTTCTGTCATTTACTGTTTTCTTTGAAAAAAAATGCATTTCTCTCATTTACTGTTTTTCTTTGAAAAAATGTATTTTCTCTCATTTACTGTTTTTGAAAAATGTATTTTCTGTCATTTACTATTTTCTTTGAAAAAAAAATGCGTTTTCTGTTATTTACTGTTTTTCTTTATTTTCTGTCATTTACTGTTTTTTTTGAAAAAATGCAAATGTCATTTACTGTTTTTCTTTGAAAAATGCATTTTCTGTCATTTACTGTTTTTCTTTGAAAAAAAATGCATTTTCTCTCATTTACTGTTTTTCTTTGGAAAAAATGTATTTTCTGTCATTTACTGTTTTTCTTTGAAAAAAAAATGCATTTTCTGTCATTTACTGTTTTTCTTTGAAAAAAATGCATTTTCTGTCATTTACTGTTTTTCTTTGAAAAAAATGCATTTTCTGTCATTTACTGTTTTTCTTTGAAAAAAATGCATTTTCTCTCATTTACTGTTTTTCTTTGAAAAAAAAATGCATTTTCTCTCATTTACTGTTTTTCATTGAAAAAAAAATGCATTTTCTCTCATTTATTGTTTTTCTTTGAAAAAAATGTATTTTCTGTCATTTACTGTTTTTCTTTGAAAAAAATGCATTTTCTGACATTTACTGTTTTTCTTTGAAAAAAATGCATTTTCTCTCATTTACTGTTTTTCTTTGAAAAATATGCATTTTCTGTCATTTACTGTTTTTCTTTGAAAAAAAAATTTACTGTTTTTTCTTTGAAAAATATGCATTTTCTGTCATTTACTGTTTTTCTTTGAAAAAAATGCATTTTCTCTCATTTACTGTTTTTCTTTGAAAAAAATGCATTTTCTGTCATTTACTGTTTTTCTTTGAAAAAAAATGCATTTTCTCTCATTTACTGTTTTTCTTTGAAAAAATTTTCTGTCATTTACTGTTTTTTCTTTGAAAAATATCGTTTTCTGTCATTTACTTTTTTTGAAAAAAAACATTTTCTCATTTACTGTTTTTCTTTGAAAAATGCATTTTCTGTCATTTACTGTTTTTCTTTGAAAAAAAATGCAATTTACTGTTTTTCATTGGCATTTTCTCTCATTTACTGTTTTTTCTTTGAAAAATGCATTTTCTGTCATTTACTGTTTTCTTTGAAAAAATAATTTTCTGTCATTTACTGTTTTTCTTTGAAAAAAATGCATTTTCTGTCATTTACTGTTTTTCTTTGAAAAAAATGCATTTTCTCTCATTTACTGTTTTTCCTTGAAAAAAAATGCATTTTCTCTCATTTACTGTTTTTCTTTGAAAAAATGCATTTTTGTCATTTACTGTTTTTCTTGGAAAAAATGCATTTTTCTGTCATTTACTGTTTTTCTTTGAAAAAAAAATGCATTTTCTGTCATTTACTGTTTTTCTTTGAAAAAGCTTTTCTGTCATTTAATTTTTCTGTCATTTACTGTTTTTCTTTGAAAATGCATTTTCTGTCATTTACTGTTTTCTTTGAAAAAATGCATTTTCTGTCATTTACTGTTTTTCTTTTCATTTTCTCTCATTTACTGTTTTTTTTGACATTTTTCATTTTTGTTTTTTTTTGAAAAAATGTATTTTCTGTCATTTACTGTTTTTCTTTTGAAAAAATGCATTTTCTGTCATTTACTGTTTATTTGAAAAAATGCATTTTCTCTCATTTACTGTTTTTCTTTGAAAAAATGCATTTTCTCTCATTTACTGTTTTTCTTGAAAAAAAATGTATTTTCTGTCATTTACTGTTTTTAAAAAAAAAAGTTTTTGTTTTCTTTGAAAATATGCATTTTCTGTCATTTACTGTTTTTCTTTGAAAAAATGCATTTTCTGTCATTACTATTTTTTCTTTGAAAAAAAATCATTTTTCTCATTACTGTTTTTTTTGAAAAATATGCATTTTCTGTCATTTACTGAGAAAAAATGCATTTTCTGTCATTTACTGTTTTCTTTGAAAAAAATGCATTTTCTCTCATTTACTGTTTTTTTGAAAAAAATGCATTTTCTCTCATTTACTGTTTTTCTTTGAAAAAATGTGTTTTTCTGTCATTTACTGTTTTTCTTTGAAAAAAAATGCATTTTCTCTCATTTACTGTTTTTCTTTGAAAAATATGCATTTTCTGTCATTTACTGTTTTTCTTTGAAAAAAATGCATTTTCTGTCATTTACTGTTTTTCTTTGAAAAAAAAATGCATTTTCTCTCATTTACTGTTTTTTTTTGAAAAAAAAAATGGGCCTCTCATTTACTGTTTTTTTGAAAAAAAGTATTTTCTGTCATTTACTGTTTTTCTTTGAAAAAAATGCATTTTCTCTCATTTACTGTTTACAATTTTTATAATTTTTAATAAAAAGATTTATTTTTGCATTTGCTTCTTTATAAAACGGTAAATAATAAATCTTCTTAATATGGTAAATACTTTATTTATAGATATTTAGAGTTAAGAGTTTATAAAACAGGTAAATATTTAACTTTTATAAACATAATAAAAAATGCAAGAAAAATATGAGCCAAATGGTTCTAACGAAAATCTATATCTCTGAGATGAGGTATTATGATTACTTACCTTATTCGGATTGCTATCGTCATCTTCATTGCCATATTCACAAAGTTTCGGCAGTTGTATTCTCCGGCTTTCTTCATGGCCCAGTGGATAAAGACTTTGGTATGGATTTCAGTGAAGCCACGCACTGGGATTTTCTCCTTAAATCATGTCGATATTAACAAGAAGTCAAAACTCTTGAATAATTGAGCATGGTACCCTTGGGAAAAGTATGAATCCTCTTCTTCTCCTTTCAACTATGGGTAAAATAGCAGGACAGACCGGGTTCTATAGCCTTGGATGGCAACTGGTCTACCGCAGAAAGAAATGGCAACCTACTGCGAAAAAAAATCTGCCTCGTCAGAAATGTATCGAAAGATACATGATCGCCTAAGCGTGTATCACGCATGGAACATAACTGGCTGATTGAGATTCAAAACCGGAGTCTCATGAATAAAACGCTAACACCCAAACCATTTGACCACATACCGACGCACGAGGGGAGCAACACGACGTGGTATAATTCTTAGCAATCTTGTCTCGCTAGATCAATTATAACTGAGTAGTGAGTTCGATCCACACTGGGTGCTCCATACTTTCGGCCTTGTGCCACATCTAAGCTATGCTTAGAAAATCATTTGGGCATTTTGACATGGTGCAATGGTTAGCGGGTGGTATTCTAGGTACTTACAAGGAATTGTTACGATTTAAAAAAAAGTTTAGAAAAACTTAGAAATATCATATCTGGGGCCATCGCAAAGGTCAACATAACCGGAGTGCAATAGAAGGGCCTCGCTCTGGGAGAATTTGGTGTGAATTTTAGTCAATATAAATTCTTTTTATTTTGGGCCGAATATAACAGAAAAGATCTAATTTTAGGTTTTAATTTAAATTTTAGAAGTGGTTAGGTTTAGTTTTCTATGCAAATTCATTGTAACCCCCCCGCCATCAAAACTTGCTCATGCTACATGATGAAGCATATTATTACCAAATTGGGGTACCTCAAGGCGGTGCAATGGTTAGCAAAAACAATTACGACTGAGACGTGAGTTCGATACTCACGGGGCCCCATACTTTCGGCCTTGTGCCACATCTAAGCATACGCTTAAAAAATCATTTGGGGCACCTTGAGGTGGTGTAATGGTTAGAAAAATTATCTTGGTAGATCAGAGTAGTGATTTCGATCCTCACTGGGTGTTCTTTACTTTCGGCCTTGTGTCACATCTAAGCTATGCGTAGAAAATCATTATACCCACGCACGAGGTAGGTTAGTTTTTAATATTCAGAAATCTTTTGAAAAGCTAAACTAAACTAAAATAGGACGAAAAACATCTTTCGCATATCAAACACCTCAGCAACACCCCCCCCCCCGCAAAGTATCTAGTACTTGTAAAATCTACGAAAAGTAAACAAATTTGTACAACTTGAAGGAGGGAAATAATGATGGATTTCATTCAATGGGATTTTTTTAAGCGCATTTTGAATATTCTTTTTTTTTTTGGGGGTTTTTGTTTTTTGTTTTGTTTTTTTGTTTGTTTTTTTTTAGTATTCGCTACATTATGATACTTGTAAAATATGTTACTCTGAAATAGTATAAATAACTACACACATTAAACTCGCTACCCTCCCCCACTCACCGGTGGTTGAATATCATTATCGTGAATGGCATTTTTTGATATTTGGTTTTTATTTCTTCCTTCTCTTCTACCAGAACAGATTCTTTTTATGCGACCAACAAGAGACAAAGAAAAGACAGGAAATATGGAAAAGAAAAGATATTCGTGATAAGGAATAACGGTGTAGGATGGCCAGTGTGAACTTTAAGTATGTGTGCGCGTGTCTCCGCGTGTATGTGAGTGCGTGTGCAGGCGCACGTGTCTCGAGGTAAACGTGTGTGCGCACGTGCGTCTTTGTGTGTGCGCGCGCGCGCGCGCATGCGCGGGAGAAGCGCTTGTGTATTAAAAGGCTGAAAAGCGAAAGGAAGTCGATGCCAAAGAATAATGGAAGTCATGGAATTGGGATGAAATGCTTGCGGATGTCGGATGATTGTTGGTTAGAGAGAAAAGGAAGTGAAGGCTCAATGAAAGACTGAGACGTGAGAGAGAGTGGGTAGAAAAAGAAGACGAAAGAAAGAAAGAAAGAAAGAAAGAAAGAAAGCGTGCTCTCTTAACTGGGATGTGTGTTCGAACTTTCCTGCTTGAACAGATGTAGTGTTTACCTTCATCTTCTTCTATGTGCCATGTCTCTTCAGAACATGAGCGACCATAGCTCTCCACAACTTCCTGTCATTTATATGTCATATCTAAGTAATAGTTGCCTCTCTCAGTCAGGCTCCTACAATTCATTTACACAATTAGATTAGATGAGTTTCTCGCTATCTGTCTGTATTTCTGAAATGAGGTATAATGTACACTATTTACATTATTCGGACTATTAATACAGTGGATAAAGGTGTTAGTTAGATCCAGTGACAGTACCCAAAGAGTGTGAGTTCAATACCCGGTTAAGACAGTGGAGAACTTGTAGAGGAGAATTAACAGATAACTGATAACTGACATCCATTAAAACATGGCATGTGGAGCTAGAACAGTCTACCCCAGTGAGCGAAATAAAGGGTTCAGTTCGACATTCCAACCACCTGAAGAAGGCCAGAGCGTACAACGGCTGAAACGTTGTAATAAATATGGAGACAAAGATGAGGATAATAGTCCGAATAATGTAAATAGTGTAGGTTTCTGGCTGTTTCCTCTCTGCTTCTCTTGCCTTCAGTATGGCGTGTGAGTGTCAAATTCTCTAAACCCCCTTTTCTAATATCTCAATAATTTTCAACTGTCTTTTTCTCTTTCTATGTATATTTTGTTTCATTTTTCCTTGAAACTTCTTCGTTGCTCACATGCTCCGACTATGACATTCTTAGCATCCTTTTGTTGGGTTGCAGCTCTGTTGCGTCAAGTCTGTTGTCCGTGTAAATAAAACTATCACCACACATACACGTATATGTATATTTGTGTTTAGTTTTAGAGATGAGTATTTTGACATAAAGACATTTATTCAAGAACAGCGAAATATTCGTAATTTTAATTTCCGAATAAAATCAATTCTATATCCCGCTAATAAATGACGGACATATTGAAAGAATTTGGCAATTACTTTGGTTATATGTTCTGCATACGTAATTCGAGATGTTTTTCTCTATAAATAAACAATATTATCTATCGTATGTAAGAAAGCTTCTCAATGCTCTATCGCCATTTCCATGGAAAATGGTCAGACGAACTAAATGCTTTAGTTCCACAAGTTCCAACCTTCACGTCCAAGACACGCCAGAAGATAGAATTTATATAAAATACAAATTTTATTGTAACCTAATTATGTACAATAATAGACCATATGCAATATAGGTGAACAATTCAATAAGAAAAATTGAAAATAAATACAATGTATCTAAACACAAATTAGAAACTTAATAGATCATTACATCTTAAATAAATAATGTTTGGCGCCAATTTTTTGTGATTTTTCTTGTTGAAAAGTTGAAAATCTTTAACACGTTCTACATTATGGATAAAAAATAGTAAATTTTATATCGTGTTTTTTCAAGACTTAGCACGAGCAAAAACAAATTTACAGATTTGGACAAAAAAAAACAGAATGACGTCAAAATCCTTAAAAAATGTATATCGACGAATAGTTTAATTTTTAACGTATACTAGCAGTAGAGCCCGGCGTTGCCCGGGGATGTAACAGTAAGAGATAGAACAAGTATCGACCATCATAAAGACTGAAAAATAAAATTAACAAAGATTATTGTTTAAGGTTGACGGACATGCATGTCGTAATTAGTTTTTTTTTTTTTTTTTTACGAATTGGTCAAACTTAAACTCAAACAAAAACACTGTTTGCAATCGTTATGAGTCTACCGATTGAATAGAATTTTATTATAAACAATTGTCTTGTAAATGGAATTTTTAAAGCATTCTGAATGTAAAAATAAAGAAAAAGTGTGCAAGACAATAAGAAACACTACCAGCCAAAAAAAAGTGAATTTTTGTTGAAATCGGTTGAAAAATGTAGGAAATCCGATCCCATATACAAACGAACACACACACACACACAACCTGGGTTTTAAGTATAATTCGATATGAGTTGTCCCCCTTTCATTCTAGCGATGCCTCTTAATCGTGTTTTTAAATTGATTTCGTGCAAAAACAATTGTGTTTTTCCAATTTTTGGCGCTGTCAGAACCACCGCAAGGTAATTTTACGTAGTCCTGTGAAGTTTTGTTGAAATCGGTTGAAAAATGTAGGAAATCCGATCCAATATATAAACGTACACACACACACACACACAACCTGGGTTTTATAATAAGTATGATAAATGTAAGTAGAAAAAAATTGTTGATAAGATAGTGAGGGTCACAAAACACTGCCCGGGGTCCCAATCAGGTACGAGCACCATCGGATGATGTGTGTGTGTGGGGGGGGGGTTGAGGGTAGGTAGTACGCACCGGCCCTGCTTTCGCTAATTCTTTATTTAGTTCCTCTTAATATTTTGGCTTTATTTATGCTTATTTCTACCGAAGAATAATTTATTATTCGTGCTTCAATTATAATTTCTGAACAACAACAAAAAAAAAACAAAAACAAAAAAACGACAACACCACAATGAAAGAAATGGCGCCATTTCTAATCAAAGTGATCAAACAAACTAGAGTGACGTCCCCCCCCCCCTGGTCGCAGCGTCGACTCTGTCGTTCGATCTCGTTCGCGGCGCCAACTGTGACGTGACGTGGTCCAGGGTTCTGGTCCTATGGTCACGACACCAGATGTGACGTCTTTGCCGCGGCGTCAGCTGTTCGCTCCTCGCTGCTCCAAGTGTGACGTTCTAACCCTTTGGTTAGATGAATACCAGCCTCGCCGTTCCCAACTCGCTTCCAACGCCTGGTTACTAGGGTAACTGCACTGATCTCCGGTCTGCCTACCAACGTTATGATTAGATCTTAGACAGACGGGATCAAACAGGGATTGGGGCCGTATGCAAGCTGAGTTCAACGGGGGTGATAACACACAAGAAAAAGAAAAACTCACAAGGTCAAAAATTATTGAAGAAAAAGGTAACAACTTTTTATATCTAAATGTTCGTTACACAAGATTATTCCTACCTCCCGACCCGTTTTGTGGACTGTGGCACCAAGCTTCTACCATACAACTTTAAGGCTTCGAGTTGCCTGCTCTCTAGAAATTTGCATTTCGGGGTGTGGATTGGTTTCGACACTGGGCGCTGATCTCTACCTGTCGTTCACGGCTGATTTTTCTCGCCGTCAGTGCGCGAATCGACTTCTTCTCTTCGGCTTCGGTTGGACGAGCTTATTCACTTCGGCTTGAGTTGGACGAGCTTATTCACTTCGGCTTGAGTTGGGCGAATTTCTTCACTTCGACTTGGGTTGGACGAATTTCTCTTAGGGCTTGGTTTGATTCCAACTTCTCCGAGGCGCAACTGCAAAGTTAACTTCTTCGTCCGAGGCGCAACCCCAACTCCAACTGATTTCTGTCGATTGGGGCCCTGCTTTTATTGAGGCAGTCAAAAACTGGGGTGGGTCTGTCGGCGCCAGTGTTTTCTTGATAATTCTAAAGACGTATTATTTCTGATTAGGGATTTCCCATTATCGCTCTTACTTTCACTCCTACTTCCTTACTGTGCCTCTGGGGGGGAGGCGCATACCCGCTTCCCCTGGTCCCTCGTATGTCAGGTGACCGCTCTCGACCAATGGGGTCCTGGTCGGGCATCTTTCCTCCTCCCTCGCACATCACGTGACCGCTCTCGGCCAATGAGACTCTGGTCGGGTGTCTCTCCTCCTCCCTCATGTATCATGTGACTGCCCTCGGCCAATGAGACTCTGGTCGGTATCTTCCCTCCTTCCTTCGTGACGTCTCTAATCGGGCGTGGCTTTGTTCTGGGGGAAGAAACACCTTGCTTAAAAAAAAACAAAATTTAAATTTGCCCTTTTCGTATGTGATCGAATGACGCTATCGGTCCCTTCCACACGTGGCATCTGTCAACAGCCTACCGCTAATTGGATGCGATCTAAGAAAGGGATTTTCCTAGACCTGTCGGCGTCTCTCGCGAGCTAATACAAATATTCCATTTTTCTCTGGCCGATAATAAAATATACATTATCTCAAAAAAGCATTTTCACTTTGGGTGGTTTATTTCCAACCCCAGAAATTGTCTGGGCTTCGTGTATTAATGTTTTGTTTTCGTATACATTTCCCCATCTGTTACCTATCATCTCAATGACACCCTTTTCGTTTGTTACTTATCAATATTTTTTCATTGTCCCTAAAATTTTATTTCTTCAGCCAACTTTTAACAAAAACTTCCATCTTCCGTGGACACGGAATTAGATCAAGTGCTTGACCTGATAATTTTGACATCTGATATGTGCCGGTCGAGCGTGTGTGTTTTCGCTTACGACCTTGTTTCGTATTATGTTTCTGTCTTTCCTTTTCTTTCTTTTTTTATTATCTCTAAACTCTATTTCTTCAACCAATTATAACAACTTACATTTTTCGTGGATTTCGGTCAGGTACTTTGACCTAGATATCTTTTGACACCTGTTATGTGTCAGTTAAGCGTGTGTGCTTATGACCGGGTTTTGTATTATTTTTTTTTTCTCCTTTCTTTCCTTCCTTTTCTTTTCTCTCGGATCGCCTAAATGCAATTAGAGAATTATTCTCAAAACCCAAATATTCTTCATCTCTAAATAACTATCAAATGGTTAACAAACCGAAAAAAATAAATCATATATTTATGAATATCTCTTTTCAGTTTTCTAATTATGCATGGTGCCACACTACATTTCTTAGTCCAACGATGTTCTAACTTTCAAGGTTAATTAATACCCGCCATACTACACATTACCATTTGATTGGTGAGATGTAAGTTCAGCTTCTTCCCACGAACTGCTCTGTTTGAGGAACTAACTCCCGGAAGGGAAGTTTACCTTTCATTACACTCTTAACATGTGTGGCACCATTTAACGAGGCAGAAAAAGAAAAGAAAGAAAAGAAGAAAAGGAGAGGCTAAGGACCGAATCGTGGATGATAAGCAGAACACACACACGGCTAAGAGACAATGGATAAGGGATATTTTGATAAGTAACAAATGGCGAAAGGGTGTCATTACAATGACAGGGA